CACAGCAGTCGTCACGTTTGCGAAATCCCAAATGTTCGAGAATCTTCAAAGCCCTGCCGGAACCTTAGGCCCTGAACCCCTAACCTGAACCTCGGGCCCTATACATACCTATATATATATATGTATACATATATACCTGACATATATACGCCCTGCAGCCTACTTCCTTCACTCTACCCCGCCCCCCCCCACCCTAAACCCTGCTCCCAGCCTTGAACCCGACCTGCAGTCGAAAGCCCAGGCCGTAGAGCGTATAAGTGCATGAGCCTTAAGTCCAAAAGCTTATAGCCCTATACAACCCTCCAGCCCTTTAAACCATAAAGCCATACCCTTGACTAACCCTAAACTAAGCCCCAAACCCCCAAACAAATCTGAGGCTTAAGTCCTACCTAAACCCTAAACCTAAATTCCTAAATCCGAAACCTCCACCCTTAGCCCTCACTATAAAAGTGCTAAAAAAAGTCCTTAAAGCGCAACGGGGTCGCCTTGCGGGCAAGTTTGAGCACTCCCGGGTCGAACCGCAGTTTGGGCAATGGCGACCTAGGAGCCCCAAGGGGTCAATCAAGGCTTCTTTATCGGTTTAGGGTTAGGTTTTGTTTTGGGTTTAGGGTTTAGGGTTTAGGGTTTAGGGTTTAGGGTTTAGGGTTTAGGGCTAGGTTTTTGTTTTTAAAGGTGCAATGGCACCTTGAAAGGGTTTAGGGTCATAGGGGTTTAGGGTTAGAGGGTTTAGGGTTATAGGGTTTTTTTGTGTTGTTATAAGGCTTAGAAGAAGGCCTTGAACATTTGGGATTGATTTGGGTGGTATCAGGAATGCTTGTAACTGCTCAGCCGGTTGTATTATCAGGAGTACATCTACGGATTCGGGTAAGCAAGGAACTACCAGGACGGTCTGATCACTGGGACGGTGGACCTTGATATTGCAAGTTGCTCGATGCTTGTTGTGCTGCTTGTGCTGTTGTCGTTGATGTTGATGTTGTTGTTGATGATGATGACGATGATGATGATGATGTTGTGGCTCCTGCTGCTACTGCTGCTGCTGCTGCTCCTGCTGCTACTGCTCCTGCTGCCGTCAGCTTCGGGCTTTTATTCGAAGAAAAGTAAACTGTAGTTGAGCGGAGCTCAGATGCTGGGACGATGGACGGCCAGAAGTTCACCATTTAAACAATGAAGAGGGGTGTGCAGGGTTGAGGAGGCGTGAAGTTTAGGATTTGCGTAAGTAGGATTTGGGGATATGGAGGCCTGAAGCTCAGGATTTAGTTGATCGGCGTTGTTTTCGGGGTTAGGGGCTTGCATGCAGCGATATTGTGTAAGATGTTGGCCGTAGCTGTGTCCGCAGAACCCCTGTCCGAGACCGTGACCACTCGAACAAAACTGAATTAGCAGCATCCGCCCTGGAACTCTAAACCCCAAATCCAAAGCCTTTTTTTAATCAACCCCAAATCCTAAATCGACAGCAACCCTTAAACCCTAAACCCTGGACCCTAAACCCTGAACGCTGAAACTACGTAACTTGCAACCCAGAGACCGGATGTCCGAAACCGTACTTCACACTGACCGTACCAAGTAATCTTACATAGAAACCCTCGTTACAGTAACACTTATTGACCGAAGCCTCTAACCCTGTGCAACCCTTCAAAACCCCTTTAAACGAACACTCTAAGGAATTTGGCCTCTTGATGTGTCAAGAGCTACGAAACCCAACACTCTCCCGAGTCTGAAAGACTGAAGCCGAAACTTCATAAGGGAATCTGGCTCCGGGCTTATCGTTTACGGTTTGGGGCGCAGGATTCTTGGTTCATGAGTAAATACTAGAAAGGGTTGAGGGCCAGTTTAGGGTTTTGGGTTTGGGAAATATTGGGAAACGTAACGCGAAATCCGGAGTGCAACCTCATGCCCGGAAACGTTGATCCCACCCAACACCCGAGATCGACAAACTAATATAGGGGCCTTAATGATTGGAATAGAGGCTTGCGACACATTCTACTATAATTATAAGAAGGAACCACCAGAGTAGAATAGGCACTTATTAAGGCCCCTATATTAAAACTCTAAACCCTAAACCGAAGCCAAGAGACGTTTGGGCGCGGGCACGGGTTGCTCCTCAGCATCGACTAGGACATGTGTAGGCATGCAGCGAAAATAGCAAAAATGGCGCCTTAAGGGTTCCCTAGGGCTCTAAGGACTCATATGGGAGTTTCCGAAAACTAGGGCTACCTTATATGGGGGTCCTTATAATAAGGATTCTACTATTTAGGGTACTATATTAGGGTCCCCTATTTTCGGAAACTCCCATATAGGGTTCCTTTGAAGGGCTCTATAAGGGGTCCAGAACGAAGCCCAACTGCTTCAGCTCAGGTTCTCAGATCAGCTTCAACTCTGGAACCCTCGACCCCAAAGCTCAAAGCCCAACCCCGTGGGCCTAGAAACTTCAAGGCTAAACCTCAAACTCAAAATTCTAGAACCCTTAAGCCTTAAACCCAGAAACTCCTCAACTCTCAACCCCCCGAAATGCAAAACCCCAGGGCTCCAGAATCGCCACAAAACCCTTGCCTACACCCTGAGCTCGTCTTTTGCCTGCAGCTCAAGCTCTGCGGTGCTCCCGGAGGGCAGCTCACAGAGTCCGGTGCAAGGCAAGTCACGGAAAGCATCGCCTAAAAACCTACCGTGCCGGTCCATATACCCTACCTGTCTAGGATTGCTTTATAACGAGAGTCCTCCGTAAAGTCTTTTGAAAGCTGTTTAAGCGGCTTAGTACAGTATAAAGCCCCCAGGGGCCGCTACGGTCAAAGTATAATATAGGGCCTTCATAATTAGAAAAAGGTTCTTGGACCCTATATACCACAACCATAATAATGAACCCCAAAATAGTATAGGTAGTTAATATTAAGGCCCCTATACTTAAACTCTTTCGGTACATGGACCCTTGGGGCTGGGAAGGGTAGTTGTGGCAGCGGAAACCAGGCGCCCTCGCCCTGCAGCTGAGTAGTGCCCTGAGGTCTCAAAAAGACGTTCTTTCTTTCGGTGGTCTGTAAATGCGAAACATGAAGTGTGTTTTCAGGTCTAAATGTTGGGATAATGAAACTGTTGAAGGCTACGGGCTCAGGTTCACTCTTCCTAAATCCACATCGCACTTGCTGCAAGGAGGGAGGGCGAAATAAGAATCATCAGCAAGCTCAGTGTTTGCGTGGCATGCAAAAAATGTCGAACGCGATGGACGTCTGATTGATAGCCGGCATCGCAGGCTCAAAACTTGAAGCAGAAACTCTAAACCCACTCAGGATGCGCTTGGGCTCTATATAGAGTAGTATAAAGCTTTGTTGTTTACGGCTTAGGTTCTGGTGTTATTTTGCTTCCGAGGACGGTCGCGAGAAATTAGCTCTGAATGGTACTGCATTAACCTGAGAAGTCGGGGAGGAATGAACACGTCCGAGCATGCGTGGTGGGGATAATATAGGGGCCTTCATAGTTGCTCATACTATTGGGGGGGTTCCTTATTGTAATTATAGCATAATACATGGATTCCAAAACCCTATTCTAAATATCAAGGCCCTCGGTTATGTGAGAGCATTTCGGTTAGATGGGTCGTAGCACTTGAAAGAATCCCAACTATGAAATCTCTGACTCGCCCTCAACCGCATTACGGTCGAAATTACAACCCGCAACTTAACCCACACGTGAACGGAAGCATCAGAGGCATGAAGCCATCAGGCCTTGGACGAACAAATCATAGAGATCCTGCGTTGAGTTTCGAGGTTATTGTGACCGCGGGTGGGGTCTGAAATGAACTCCCACAGCGAGTCCCAGAATGACTCGCTCCACTTGGAGGATCATAGACCTTAGTAAGTATGGTATGGTTATAAGTGCCTTAACTAATGACAAGTATTATAGTAACTATGCTTGAAAATACTGATAACTCCAATTCAAGCACTTAGCCTAACAATAACCCTTGCTGCCAAGTCCCATGATCCTACAGGTACTTATACCCCATTCCTCCATTCCCTACTAACCAAAGGTAAGAAGGATTATTGAGCCCCCTATATTATAGTACCCATTATAGATCCCTTATAGTAACACCCTGAGTTGGAATCTGTCACGCTCCGAACTCAGACCTCGAGCTTCCCCTCAGACACCTCAGGGAGGATGAACAGAGTTTACAGTAGAAGCCACAAAGTTGGAATATCATTATCGTACCCCCTTTAAGGTAAATTATAGGGGATCCTACCATTAATCCATATTCCAACTTTTCTATAAGGTCACAGGGTTGAATTTTATCAAGCGAGGGTTGGGCTTTAAGATTTCTCAATCAGTTCCCATATAATGTAGGTGCCTTACTGTAATAATTAGAACAGGGTCTTGGGGGGTCCTTATGATAATTATGGTATGTTATACCCCCAAACCCTATTCTAAGTATTAAGGCCCCTACATTATACTTAATTATTAAGGCCCCTACATTATACTACAAGCCTCTTGGGATCACAGGGTGAAGGGTTAGAAGCCCAAATCGTTGGATACGGAGTCTGAAAAATCTAACAGAACGACATCTGCAACACCACAAAGCCCTGACAGCCACTGAATCCATGACCAAATTTTCCGTATATAAACTCCTGCTTTGGGTCACTTTTCCCTTCATAGAATCCTTCATCTGGGCTTTCAAGTAAACACGGAGAAAAAAGTACAAACTTTTATTTCATACGGGTTCCATTAAGAAAAAAGTATTAAAGTATGGTACTCCAAAGCCCAGTCATAGAAGCAAAAGCTGCTTACAAATTCGTCTGCGGGCTTCTCCACAGAAGGCCAGTAAAACCCCGGCCAAGCTAATCGAGTCAAACTCACGCTACTCAGCAGACCGTAATTCAGGAAATCGGTTGCGATCTCTTCATATAAGGGCCTAAATTACTAAATAACTACTATTTCCTGAAGACTAAGACTAAGAGCTGGGAGATATCCTGATCTGTAAGATGAAAGCTCCCTAAACCCTAAGCCGTTGCCTTCAAGAAGCGTCAGCTTCCTCTGAAACCACGGTGCGAGCCTTTGCCTTCCTGGGGCTTTCCTTAGCCAAGAGGCTTTCTGATTTGGAGCCCATAGACTCACACCGTACAAACCCCAAAAACCCAAAGCCGAAACAGCCCAAAACCAAAATGCCCGTGAACTTAAACCCGGAACCCTGAACTCGAAATCCTCGAACTTCGGTGAATGGTGGTGGGGAGGGAGGGGCGAGAACACCCCGGTTGGAATTGAAGGGTTTTGGTCCTTGGAACATGCTGAAGGCTTTGGGGTTGTGGTTTAGGGTTTAGGGTGTTTAGGGGGTTAGGGGGGGATTGGGTTTTGAACTTAGGATCTACTTGCAGGTTCACGGGACTTAGCCCAGTACTTACAAGTACGATTACCCTAATAAAAGCATTTAGTTACTTAGTCCCATAATCCTTTAACTAAGGGCTTAGGGCAGTGGTCATACTCGGCGACCTGTCACACAAGTCACTTGAAGAGAACGATGAGAACATATGGATGAATCAGCAAAGCTATGCCCTGAGCCCTCCAAAGCCTAAACTTACCGCCGCCCGTGAACCCTCACCGGTAGCAGCCGTTGTGCTTGGGAGCCTTTTCATTTTGGGCTCCGCTTGCGTCTAAAGTGTTCGGTCCAGATTTCAGTGCCTCAACTGTAAACCGCTGGGTTAAACCTGGTAAGCTCCCTAAACCCTAAACCGCAAGCCGTAAGCCCTAAACTCCAAACCTTAAACCTTAAACCCTAAACCCTAAGCCCGAAACCCTAAACAGACAAAACGTAAAACAGCTCGAGGACCTCCGGCTAGATGGGGGAACTGCAGAAATGCCGTCTCAAACCAAACACTACGCCACTTCATTACAAAGCCTAAACTCTACTCTCATAGAAGTGGTGACGACAGCGATTGCTGATAATGGCGATGGAGATGATGGTCCTCTGTGGTACGGACGATGTTAGGGCTAAGTTTGCCGCTGAGGGCGGTGTCTACGAATGATGTGAGAAACTCCGTGCCGAGTTCAGGGCATGAGGCTTCAGTAATAAATGCACCTGGCGTCTGATGACGGTATCGAGCCTTTTCAGAAGTCTCTCCTCATCCTTCTTCTGCTGCCATCTGGCATGAACAATTGGGCTCAAGATTCTACAGGGAACTCCAGAAAGTTGGAATATGGTTTCATGGTAGGATACCCTATAATTTACCATAGAAGGGTTAGGATAATCATATTCCAACTTTCTGGCTGTTACCTTAAGCATATGTCGAGCCAGGAAGCTTGCAATGCTACTTGTACACACAGGCATGAACAACCAGCCGATATAGTCGATACGAAATGTCTATCCGAAATTGCGAAACTTCATACCACTGGAAATCTCCTGCGCAAGAGTTGCGAGCATCCAGCAGGGCTTCCGAAACCTTCCCCGATGTCATAAGCTTTTGAAGGCATGAAGATGCGCTAAATTTCGCAGCACGACTTGGAGACATTGGAAAGGCCAAAAACAAAGTAAACACAACACTGTAAAACCAAAATGCTGTCACCAGAATTACAAGGACACCCTAAGCCTAAACCCTAAACATAAATGAGCAATCAGGAACAATCAGATACGCACTGCAGTGCAGAGGCTTCGAACTGGAGGCTGCGGGATCTCGTGTTACGCGTCTTGTGTCGCTAAACCCAAAACCCTAAACCCCTAAACCCTAAACCCTAAGTCGCTCTCCATCAACAACTGCAAGGAATGTGTCAAATCGGCTTATACTTCTGCTCGGTATTGCTTCTGTACCTTGAAAAAACCCTGCCAATACCGTACCCTGCCAATACCGTACCGTATCCTTCTTAAGCTGGCTGATTATCCCGGAAGCCCGACAAACCAGCTTCATAGAATCCCAAAGCCCCCAAAGCCTGGCGCAGTTCCGGGCCTCTTGCCCTTCATGAAGTTGAGCACGGAAGCGGAGCCAGAGAGAAGTTTCAGCACCTCTCGTTGCATTTTGTGAGCTTCTGAGAGAAGACGCTGGGATCCGGGTACATAAAACCGTGATTGGGATGGTGCAAAATTGCAAATTGCACATCCGTGTACGGGTGCTCTGCACCAATGACCGTAAGTCCACTTTTTCTTGCTAGCGTCTCACCTGGTACTGCAACACTAGTACGGTAATCCAGTACCCGGTTCGAAACAGTGATGTCTGAGTTTTCTGTCGCATCCGTATGGCGCAGGCCTGACCGGACTTGACGACTTGGCACATGTGCTTTTGTTCTCCGGATGTTCTGGTCTGAACTCCAAGACGCTAAGGCCTGGGAAACACGAGTACAACAGCAACTGATGTTGTCGTCATGTCTCCGTTCGTGGTCATTGCTTGAGCAAACACGCTTCGAGATTCGACTGTAGTGCTGTCAGAGGGCAAGTTGCCACACACGTTCACTAATCTGGCTTATAGGGTTTAAGGTGAGTAACAATGCAAGTACAACAGACTGAGCAGTAGAAAGGCATGGCTATGAACTTCGGCAGCGCGCATTATATGCTTACAACGGCATCATACTTTTACTGCTGAGTTGAAAAGACGTCGTGAAGCCTGGAACCATCTCGCATCTGTGGGGGGGCCATATATAGGTCCGCTAGCTCTGCCTGAATACTCCAAGCTAAAACCTAAACCCTAAATCGCCGTAACCTACACCCCCCGAAAGTAGGTAAAATAATGGCACAATACACATAAAGAGGCCATTATTCTACATACCTTTGGGGTCCACGTATGTCTTATGGGCAGCCGCCTCTTCACGCCCCAAGCCCTCTGTCGGCTCGTCATCCACTGACACCAGGCGAGCTTTGGGCTCGACTTCGCATATCTGCTGCAGATGTGGCTTAACCTGAGCGGTTTAGGGGTTTAGGGGTGTAGGGTTCAGGAATGAGGGGTTTTGGGGTTGAGGGGTTAGGGGTTTAGGGTTTAGGTGTTTAGGGATTTATAGGGTTTAGGGATTTAAGGCTTGGGGGTGTAGGGTTTAAGGGTGGCCTCGCCTAAACTATACTTCTGAACAGAACCCATTGGGTGAACAACCGGAAGAGCAAGCAAAAAGGATTCGCAAGCTCGAGCCCAACAGCCGCGCGCACCGTCGGGGGAGTGGTCCAAATCATGTCCATACCGGCGATCCAGTTGTGGCCCTCGGGGTGGTCCTCAAGACCCCTTGGTCCACGGCTCAAGGCTTTCTCGGCGAATCTACGGACAGAGAGCCGGTAACGGGCCGCAAGTTCGGCCTTACCCGCATCCAGGAAGGGTTTTACCAGCAACGCGATGAGGAGCAAAGGAATAAGAACGGGAGCTTGAAGCATCTGGCGGATCAGCTGCAGAGGCCCTCCCTCATTCTCCTCTGCCACTCCCTGCAGTGTAGGCTGCATCCTCGAGCTAATGAAGGCCCGGAAGGTTTCGCCCGGCGGAAGAAACCGAATAGAACCTTTGAACACCGTGAGCTCCTTCAAGATCTCCAGGCCTTCCATCCGCTGCACGTCCTCCCCATGTCCCGACACAGGTAAGCTTAATTCACCATCTAAGCTCTGTGTAGAAGCTCATGCTAGTCCTAGTTCAAACCTTTGCCCACAGCCTTTTTGAGACAAGAACCTTCTTGCCCAAACATTGTCAACAAGAGCTGATGCATATCCGGCAAGCATCCGGAGCTCCTTCCCATTGATCTCCGCAAGTGCTTGAAATCGCTGGCACCGAAGCAAGGCCCTTACCTGCATCACTCCAAGTAGGTCTGAGCTATCTGATCCTGCTCTACAGACATGAGAGTTCGGCCTGTTCCAGCAGTGAGACCTGGTCTCACTGCAAGCCAATACGAATTTGCCCGGCTGTGTGCCCACAGCCCACATCATCCATACAGACAGGCAGGCCGACAGCAACACGGAAAAACTGCGTTGAAATCTTTGAACTTGCAACTATCGGCAATGTTGCGATGGACGTGGAGAATGTAAGTAGCAACGCCAGTGGCAAATGTGGATGATAACTGTAAACACGAGCACGACAAGCAGCACAGGCAGCAGACCAAAAGCATTTTGATGCTATATGCCCTCGACAAGATCTTTCAATTCGACCCAGCACCCAGAAAGACGTGCTGGCTAGTGCTGCAACAAGTGGATTGAAAAAGGGGTGAATCTTGTCACCTGTCAGCTCATTGACAGTGAGATCCAACAGTAACGTTACGACTAGTACGCGAGATGCCGATGCTTCGTCCGTCCATTACTGTGATTGATGCCCAACAGCATCGATTCCCCTCCCTCTCCCTCTCCGTCTGCCCCTCTCCCTCCGAGCTTCTTACGTTGGGGATTGAAGCTATACTGAACTTAGACCCCAAGCAGCAATCATAATTTCAGCTGTCTCTTGGGGATTGTAGCAACCAAAAAATTTAAAAAAAATCGAAGTACCCCTAAGGAAGGAAGCTCAGGGCTGATATCAATCGGCCTGTGGTGTGGCATCGAGGATGATGGGAGGCTCAGTCCAGGCGATCTGCAGACCACCTAGCCAGGGTTCCTTTAAAGGGGTCTATAAGGGTTACTATACGGGATCTAGAGTAGGGTTCTAGAATGCAGGGGCCTAAATAATTAGAATCGGGTTTTGGTGGTTCCTTCTTGTAACTATAGTATAGTTTACCCCAAGCCTTTTCTAATTACTGAGGCCCCGACATTATTGAGTAGTCGCTGCCCAAAGCAATGAAATGGTGTGTGCATTTCTCTGCTCGCTACTTGCTACACAAGTCATGGAAAATCATCAATCCACCTCCTTACACCCTGACATGCACTCACGGACTGGGTCGGCACCTCAACACTGAATTCCTAATTCTGATCTCCAGCTGCATATTCATGTCGTACTACGGTCGTACAAACTCATTAAGTACAGCGACCGCCGCCTCAAGACTCAAACTCATCCTGACCCCTCTGGCCTACCAAGACCTGCTGGCATCGGGTCGGATCTCAGGTGAAACCTCCATGCAATAAGTAGCCCGAGCTGCCAAGGTTGTCGCTGCCGCCGGGAGGATCACGGCCCGAAGAAGGTATCTCCTGGAACATGAAGAAGCCGGTCGAAGGCTTTCAAAAAGGGTCCAAAGGACCCAGTAGGCTTTTACGCGAGTTACGGATAATACGTATGTAGGTTGGTAGGTGGGAGAGTACATTATTGCTGGATACTGTGATGCTTAAGCTTAAGGCCTTGGGGTTTAGTTGCTCCGGATTAGGGCTTGTTGCTTACAATCTTTTCCGGCGGTAGTGCATGAACACTAAGCCCTTGAGGTCCCGGCTTGTTGCAAAACAAGGCCCGAGGAGGCAGCTCTGTAAGCTTAATACAGGGGCCATGATAAGTAGAATAGGGTGTTGGGGCCCATTATACAATAATTAATACGGAACCCCAAAATAGTACAGGTAATTATGAAGGCCCATATGGTAAGCTTAAGCTCTGCAGGCGTGGGACTCGTCCTGCCTTTCGCGCCCATATGACCGAGTGCTCTTGCAGTTTTTGTGTCGAGGGGTATTAGGGTTTTGAGTTTAGGGGTTTAGGGTTTTAGGGGTATTGGTTCAGAATTTGGAGTTTGAGGACGTTGGAGCAGATGCAACGGCTAGCTCGGCGGGAGAGGCCGCAAGTGCTGAAATCTTCGAACATAGTGCGCATGTGGGCCTGAGTGAGCGGCTATAAGTCGAAGATATCGCAGTTGGAGGGGTTACTCAGCAGGAATACTCAGTAGGACAGACTAACAACAGTTGGTAATAACTGTGTTTCAAGACACGAGCATCTGAGCAGGGAAACTTTGAGTTACTGCGGTTGCTTGAAACTCCGGTCCTGGACACGACGTCTCCAAGCCTTTTCCGCGTCTTGTTGTACTTTCTTTACCCAGCTTGCTCCTTGGAGGTTCAGGATTTTGATAGTTGTCTCCACTAGGGTCCTCTTGAAGTCCTTTATTATAAGGGTGCCGTACTATTGTGGGGACGTGAAAAGGCCTATTTTGGAGAGCTGCCCATTTCTGGAACTGGAGCTAGGCTCGAACTCGGCATGGGGAAATCGGGAAGTCTTTTAGGCGGGCTTTACACGACACCCTTGAGGGTCCATGATATGGAGGAGTGTTTAGGGTAAGAGCAGGGTACATAAGGCGTAGTGCACGTATGAATTCTTGTCAGCGAACGTCGATCTGATGCTAGCCAAACGACCAACCGAAAGCGCATAGGTGTTCGCAGTCATTACATAAGCTTGGAACTAAATGGGAGTTTCCGAAAACGGGGGACCCTAACATAGAACCCTAAATATTAGGATCCCTATAATAGGAACCCAAAATAAGGTAGCCCTATTTTCGGAAACTCCCATTGCTGAAAACCTCAAGCCTCAACCCAATCCTTGCAGCCTGCACATTCTGAAACCTCAAGAGCTGCAAATCGCAACACCTTTGCCAAGCCAAACATCCTTTCCCCTCCTGGTCTAGTTCATGCTCGGGATAGTATTACGATTATACGTGTTTTCTCCTTATTGGATTTAGGTATACAAAAAAATGTAGAATGCTACCTAACCACGACAAACCTGCCCGGCCACTTTCCGTACTTTCCATCGCCTGCACCTTAGCATTGCTCTTTTCGAAGTCTTGGCGGGCCTCCTCCGTCCTGTTGGGGCTGTCGTCTTTGGGATCAGGCCCGTGGGGAGATTCAAGTTTAGAATCAAACAAGGAACCAACCGCTTATTTGTAGCGGATGGGGGGCTTCAGGAGCTCGAGCCTTGTTTCTTCTGGTTTGGGCTGCAGGACGCAAGCGTGAGAGTGTGGTTTTGAGCACAACCACATCCAGGTTCCAAAGCACTGGGGCAGATATGCCGGACATGCTTAAACGATCGTGGGACTCAGTAACTAGGGTTATTATTAAGGTAACTAGACTTACTGATATTCTAATTAAGGTATCATACTTACTAAGTTCCATGATCCTCCAAGTAGGGACCTGATATTTCTCTGTGAAAGAGTATTCGATGTTGCGTATTCCTGCCTCTTTGATGTTCGTTGCTGCAGACAGCCTTGCTTAGTTTGCAACATGTGCACAGCAAACTGCCAACTCAATTCACATTGAGTTGAACCTGAAAACACATAAATGTCAGCGTCCATCACCTGTGGCATTGAATCAGCTTTCCCAGAGCCAACGTGAAAACAAGGACTCAGAAAGGAAGCACAACCCTTGACCCCACATGCATGTTCTTCCCCGGCCTCTTCCTCGCCGCCTGAATGACCTGATCTTGTTTCTTCTCATACTTCAGCTTGAGGTCCTTCAGGAAGCTCCAAAGTGTGGTTTCATGCCCCAGACCTCACGACAAGCCTAATGTAGAAGCCTTAATAGTCAGAATAGGGCTTGTTGGTATATCATACTACAGTTACAACAAGGAAAACCCCTAGTCCAAGTACTAAGGCCTCTACACTAACCCTGAGATTGCTCCGAACTGCAAGCGGCCTGACCACGGTGGCTGGACTCCGGGTTCGTGACGTTTGATCTTCTCCTCGACGCGAGGGAAGAGTTGGAGGATTCAGGGCACGAGGTTTGATTGTGTCATCAGCTACTAAGGTCCTAAACCCTACCTTAACCCTGAAGAACCTACCTATGTCAGGACTTATGTAAGGAAATCAGAAGAAGGAACCCTAAAAAGGCAGGTTCTTCAGGGTTAAAGTAAACTAAACCCCTAAACCCCAACTATACATACAGTATATAAGCCCAAAAGTTGGAAAGCCAATAGCCTCAATCCTGAAGAGTAAGGCAAAGGGAATCCCAATGCTGATTATCCTTAGTCCGGTTTCCAACTTTTTGGGGTTTATTTACTCTAAATACACCAAAGAGCCAAAACCTAAACGTGCTGACAAAAGATTAGGCTATGAGCAGGTGGGCTCCTGAGCCTTACCCATCCGGATGCGGGTCTTTGCAGCGTGCCAGGCCCGTTGGCGGAGGGGGGCTTTCCATCAGAGGTAGCATTTAGTGATGATGCTTCACACTGTCATGCCACTCGGTCACCACACTAAGCCACACACCAAGCGCAGTGGTTTAATACATAGTCGCATGCAGGACATTTAGCCGTCAGAAAGCCTTCCATGGAGCACGAAATCCCACAAAGCCCCAGGCCACACAAAGGCCCCGAAACCTGACAACATAAAACGAGGGCACGTGCGTCCTTTCGCCACCGGGGATGTCGTTCTGTCTTGCCGCCTGGAGCACCGTCCGTGATTGTGCCGACCGATGGGGCAAGATGGAGTACCTTACATCGCGCGGACGGAACATGGAAGAAAGGGCAACTCTAACCACTCACTCACAGCGCAACTGTTTCGGGTTCG